TTATTACACCGATAAATCTTCACATTAAGAGATAATTCATTCTGAGTCAAGAGAACACCATTTTTTTCATTAAATTCTTAGACTATGGCTATATTCACAACGAACTACTGATCAATGTTCAAAAGCTTTGTAAGCAAGTCGAGGTACTTTCACTTGTACTTTATATGAGTCTGAAATTTGTTCAAAATACACCATTCTTGTTTCAGAACAGCTTTAGTTATTAGAGGATTTGTTCCATGAAGTACATAGGATTTCTAGCACGTTTGAACTTGATATATAAGCCATAAGGCTCTAACTCAGTGGTAACTAATCCGAATACAGTTTTATCAAGAGATTATAAAAATTTTAAATTCTCTTGGTTCTACTTAGGACAACAAAACCGTAAAAAATGCTTCAAGGGGAAACACTTATTTTTTTTACATTATCGCAGAACGGAAGGCTATCATAGAGCAGGTTCTAAAATTTGTACCGTTCACTCACTACAGCTAAAAGCACAGATGGTTTCAGAGAAATATCATTTAAATCCAAACTTTGGTTCCAATCGATGATTTTTGCAGCTTCACCCGTTTTCCTCAGCTGCATGTCAATTGAAGTTATCGTTTGTTTTGTACCAAATGTACTTCACCATTGAATTGAATGCAAAAAAGTTGTAGCATGATTCAAAATTGTGCACAGGTTAATAGGGCGTGAAGAACGGGTTACTTTTTATCTATTTTTTTCTTTTTGACAATGACCGATTTGAGAGAATTACAAAAACGAAAGAGTGTGTGACTGGATACCCCGAATGAACCAGTTACCTCTGACTTAGCAGGGACTTTAAGTTTTCTGTCAATGCATGAAAATTCTTGCGTTTAACTTCTCTTTCCTTCTTAGCCTACTTTATTTTTAGTCTAATTAATATGGCATAGATAATGCATTGTTTTATTATTATTATTGATATTACTTTAAACAGACGCGTGGTCAGACTACATGCACGCATGCCGGACCTAGAATCGTGGACTCAACAATGGTGTCTGCGAGTCATATTCACCTCCGTTGATTTTGAGAAGTCTTTTTGGAAAAATAAACCAAAATAATTTGGTTTTTCTCATGTTTCCTCTAGCTGCATCAAGTAAAAGCTGCTTATTAGCTTCTTTGAAGTAATAATTATGTAATTTGAAACTTATAATTATAAGTAAATTAAAATGAATGTACTCAATTGCCTTTAAATGAAAAACTAATCTCATGGATTTACAAGCCATGAAAACGCTGGAATTTGAATATAAGAACTTCTAAGTTGCTGGGACATCGTAACCCCTTAAATGCAGAAAATAAAGAACAGGAGAACTCACGGTTTCGACTCTAGTATAATGACAAAAACTGCGTCTGATAATTGTGGGTTTCTTCGGCTGTATTTAATCTCTGTTGTTGTTCCCTGTTTAAACTCAGCCTTGTCCTTTCTTTCTGGACTTACTACTATTAAGGATTTCATCAAATAGCCAATTTTGAAGCTTTCAATCTATGATTTTAATGAGACAACGTTTGGTGCTTTCATTTCCACCTGTTCTATTTTTTTCGCCAATATGACCCACACTGTAGTCAATTTAAGTACGAACATGTTATAGTGAAGCGCTTTTTTCTGTCTTCCCTTTTTGGCACTAAGTTTCAGTGGGTGGTTATCTCTAGTTTTCACCCGGTAGAATTTGACATGCATCGGAGATCGTAATAGATAGACAAAAAAAGATTGAGAATGCACATTTCGAGAAACTGAAGGCGTGGTCATCAAAAATCAAAAACACAAATCATCATGAGTTTTACATGTGAATTTTTGTTCATCGACATTTTCAATTGAACTTTATTCTAATTGGTCATTTGCTGTATTGTATTTATCTTTTTTCTGTTCATAAAAATTCAAAAATAGTATAAAGCAATTGAATATGTTTCAAATTATATTCAAGCCAAAGTTTAAAATATCTCAACACGCTGAACGCTTGTCTGATTAAGGTGTTCATTAGAGAGTTATTGTGATACTTATCAAATTCCCTCGGGTTGTTCCCAGTCTTCCCTTTAATGCTTGTTCCCAGTCTTCCCTTTAATGCTTGTTCCCAGTCCTCTCTTGTTTGCCCATTCCGTACGGTTTCAAAGGGCGGGCACGGATTAGACTTCGTAAAATGCATGTAAATCTACTGGTTACGTTAAGTGGCACTTTGAAGTGACATACCAAGAATAGTTTGCTAGAGACCTTTTTTGTTGCGCTTTGAAGTTTTATGTCCAAGGAAATTTGGATATTTCATGGTATACATAGCTACTTTGTGCAATATTTCTATTTTGAAAAACAAGCTTTTCACCCATAACCTGCAAACCGCCGTCAAAGATGATGTTTTTATTGAATTCTATTAGCATGAAAATGAGTGACTTTAGTGAGTGACAAACAAACTCGCGTACGTGCATCAAATATTTTGTTGTTGAAATATTCCTTTCATACTTGCGGCTATATAAATATATTTTCAAAACTTTTTTAGTTATCTTCTGAGGTAGGCGGCTTGCCTCACGAGGTCTTTTATTAACAAACAGACCTCATGCTGAGAGAGACTCGAGCGAATTTAAAACTCGAACATTTAAAGTGCACTATAATTACTTACTGCAAGCCAAAATGACGTTTCCCTTGTGTTTATTAAGAAATTTAGAAAAAAGAGTTTCCTTAATTTTGGTTTCCTTATCCTGTAAATAAGAAAGTTAAATTTAAGACGCGCTTTATTTGTTGAATAACTGGCCCCCCCAATGAGAAAGGCTTTACCCTTCTAACTGCCAAGCCGGCATTTTACAGACCTTTGGACTCTGAGTTAATAGAAAATAATGAATAAATATTGCAAAATTAGCAGCTGGAAAAAGGATTGCCATACTTTCATCAAAGTACTGTTTTCTTGAGTGAAATTTAGTTTTTAAAGTTCATCGTTATTAACGGTTTTGAGTCGTGGATAGAACACGTACACCTTTCACAATTGGTTGGTTTCTGCCCTCGAGCGATTTAAATCTCATAGTTATTCCATCTTGATAGATATATGATCGATGACTTTGATAAGCATATTTCGCTTGCGGACATCTATTATACCATTTTTGCTACAAAACACATATCTTTTGTGGCGTGTTGTTCTGTTAATCAGAACCGGAAATTCATAATTACAAAGTAAAGAGTGACTGTTTAGAAAATAGCACTTGTTACATGGACTTCAAATGATCATTTAGTTTCTACAATGAACTTAGCTGCGCCAAAGTGGAATCGCGTGCCTGACAAGATGCAGCGCGTTCGCTTCGCATCGTAAATTCATTCAAACAAAAAAGATGCCTTTAAAATATCAATTGTAAGTTGACATCTTCCGTGAGCTTGGAATGTCCTATTTTTTGCACGATTCAACGTGAAACATCTTTCAGGGAAGCAATTTTGAAAAACATACGTGATTTAGAAAATTCGCGTGAGGAACGAGAGAGTTTGCGGTGTCGGCGAAAACGGTTCACAAATCAACAACAATAGAATAACACAACGATAAACCACAAGTCTCTGATAATTGAATTCTAACCATGTAAGTGCTGAACATTCCTTTTCTAATAAACTTTTCAAAGAACACGACAGCTGTGACAAGAATAAGACGAAAATTGAAATTATTTCAAATCTACTGGTTCTTTTTATATTTATCATCAGGCGATACTGATAAAATCATTCAAAAATTTTCCAGCAAATATTTGCGAAAATGTTTTGGAAATTCTTATGATCCTTGTATCATGGTTGATTCACTAGTATTTTCTGATAAAAGGTTTCAGGAGTGATGGAACCGTTACCATTCCCTCGATACTCTCTTCATGAGAAAATACTGTCTTGCGTCTCAGCTTGCGAAACCTCATTCCTTTACATGGAGAACGTGGAAATATGTATAGATTTATCTTGATTTAATCAAGAGTAAAGGGGTTAGGTCAAAAACCTTTTTGTATCACTGAAATTTGGTCATCAACGAACGAAGAAATATTTCTGAGTAACTAAGATCTTTATTGTACTCCAGCAGTCTATTAAATTGTTTCAGAGTCCCTGATTACTTGTTAGATTTGTTTGGCAAAAAAATTGTTTCCCAAAACAATTGTTTTACTTTGATAAGATTTACTTTCTTTATTTGCTGTTTGTCGGACTTTCAATAACAGCTAGAAATCGAGAACGTTCGGAAGATGGAACATTTTTTTTTCGGAATTCTAAAATTATCTTTTCATTTTATTCTTCGTGAATTACGTCATCGTTTTGACAAAGGATTCGGCAAAGCACAAAGTAACACTAATGATGTTATAGTAGTGGACTTTATTTCGTTCTGATTTATGATTTATATACATTTGATATATTGAACTAATATTCATTGAAAAATCTCTCTTTATAGATATGACACATAATTGTATTTTTACATAGGTTCTCTGCAGTCTATTTGAAAAATATTGTGAGGTTGTCAAGATTTGAAGGTTCAGAAAATTAAGAAGGAATGTAAACAAAAAGCCGTGAGTTCCCAGAAGAGCTTTTGTCCATTTGTAGTATTTCTGTGTTCTGTGTTGTCTTTGCACACCTGCATCAAAACGTTTCGTTATAATGCCGACCCAATGATCCATCTTAGCTGATGGGGCGCATGTCTGATGCCCATGGGGTTGCCACCCTTTTGTTTCCGACACAATACACAGAGACAGTGACTAATGACTGTGCTTCCTTCACATCAAAGACAACTCGACGGAACAGCTAGATCAACTGAAAGAAACGACAGGCTGACAGCCTAAATGAAAAGAAATGATCGAATATTCTAATAAACAATGTTGCGGAGTTTCACACCGCCAAGCCTCACTCAGTTTCCCATATAGCGCGCAGAAATGATCTTGATGCGTTCCATTTGGCTGGGTGGCAGATTCTGGTTCTTGTGTTACCTTGTTGTTCACGATGTGGACCTGTTAACGATCTCCTTTAGGGGCTAAACTGGAGCGCAAATCCAAACTTGTCGACCAAAGGTATAGATTTTCTTTGTAAAGGCGCAGTTTTTGTACTTGGTAGTTTTTTCTTTTAAGTGCTATTTCCTTTCTAATCCCTTTGGTTTTGTTCTGTCCTTTGTATGTTTTGTTTTGATAAGATTTTATCAGATGCTCACTTCATCTTAAAATGCACTCCAATTAAGGTGACACTTTTGCTGCTCTAGCTGTGGAAACTCCGATTATTTAGTCTGTGGGAATAGTCCAAAAAGAACAATATCAGACTGTATTCTTTGTGATATTTGCACAGTTAAACCTAACATCGATAGTTATCTAATGTCGATATTTTTGATTTGGACTATATCTTTGTGTTAACTTATATGGTTTTTCGACTTAAATACATTTAGAGTTCTGATATTTAAAGATTAAAGCGATAGATAGTTTGGAAAATATGGAGGTGTGGCATGTTGGACAAAAATTTCTGGAACACTTTGTTGGTAGGAAGGAACAGTATCTCGAAGGGACCTTTGGAAACCTTGGTGGAATCCATGATTGAATTGAGCTGCAGGTGACTCATTCACTCCTTGTTTTCGAATAGACTCTTTAAGTTCTCTTTTCCACTTCATTCGTCGATTTTGAAACCATATTTTAATCTGTGTTTCTGTAAGTTCCAAGTTGGATGCTATTTCAATTCGCCTTGTCCTTGTTAGATATTTGCTAAAGTGGAACTCCTTCTCCAATTCAACCAGCTGTCTTTGTGTGAAGGTGAACCTTTTCTTTTGACTTGCTGCCGTTTCTTGCTTCTTGTCAGAGCTTGCTTCCTCTTTTTCTGAGACATTTGTTACAGCAGCTGCAAGAAAAACCAAAGAAATTCCTTTTAGCACACCCGTTTATTATTCTAAATCTTACCTTTGGGTTCCTGGGTGTCAGCTTGAAAGCATTCATGCATCAAACCAAACCGCACACAATTTCAGGTGTCAAAAAAAATTTCCATATTTTGTTACTTGAAGCTCTTCTTCGACTGCAAAAACTACCTAAAGATCCCTATAAACTACCGATTTGTGCAAATCAACCTCACGTTTTTGGGGTCGACCAACATTTCTTTCAATCTCTACTTTGATTTTGGCAAAGATCAATTTGAATAGTGAGGCAAAGTTGTAGACCACTCAATGGAGCCGCAATGTTTAAAGTGAATTAAACTGTTTCGGATGTGGTTGATCAGACTAGAGATAACTTGACCTTTTTATACTTGACTAACTGAAAATGATGAGTCGTCTTTCCACGACAAAGCGGGCTAACGCGATCATTTAGGGGAATTACGAAGAACAAACACAAACTGCGATTGAAAGGGTCGTTCTCCGAGTTTGCAAACATGGATGCGTTCCATAAACAATATTGCAAATTTTGTTATCTCTCTCTTTAATGTGATTTTGTGGTTTAACTGCTGATAAACGATTTTGACTCCGTTATTTCAAGACATCTAGTTTCAATGAACAGGTATTAAGATGAATGCTGGCAGGTCAGCTTCGTGAAAAGGCTATCTTGTCTTTGTCCTACTACTTAAACCCAAGTCACAAGAAGAAATCTCGGAAAGGAAGACAACAACTAGTGTGATAGTTCTCTGGTAATCGCTTCTAGACAAACTAAACCTGCCAAGTTAAATATCCACTATTTATCCATCATTCTATAAATTGCGTTTAAGTGATGTATGTTTAGTTTGAAAGCACTCATGTTTAAAATGATCGATGTGGCAAAATTTTTCAATTAGTGTTCTCAACGAATTACCTCTGTGAATAATGGTCTTAAACCAAGGCTTTTGCAGATATATCTGTTGACCTAAATCACTGCATTTCAAAGCTATGTTCTCATATATTTCTTCATAAACCGGAATGTTTAAAATTCGAGTAAGAACTGTTTTATTTCGACGGTGTCAGCCGAAGATGTAGGAGAACATGGGTGGTACATGAGATATTATGGCAGCTATGTTGCAGGAATAGAGAAGTGCTGATTTGAAATTAAATTGTCAGTTTGAAACACTGAAGGTATTTTAAAAAATAGAACTGAACCTAGCCCTCAATTTTATTTAATGTTAGCTAGCTTTCTGGCTGGCAAAGTAACGTAGAATAATTGAATCTTTAAGCTCAGAGCAATCTTTGAGGAAGCCTGCGGGTTGTTGTTCGTTTATTATACAAAACCCCCCTGAATGTTCTCTCTGAGTATCAATTTACAGAGATTCAGACTAAGACATTTCGACAGGATTGCAGTCGAGTGACCCTGTTTTACGTGGAGCTCTCACTGAAAGTGGATGACTTTCCCTAGCGTTCAATTAATACGTTATATCGAAGCCAAGGTAATTACAAAGAACTCACGAGTGTCAGTCAACCTCTTGAAAAATAAATTACCAATTTACAGCTTTTAATCGAAATATGCCGAGAAGGAGTTCCTGTCTTTGCGTAAATAAACAACCATACGAGCAGGTGAAACTAACTTACTAACTAACCTAATCAAACTAGATAAAATTTTATTCTTTAAGTTTTTGGTATCGATTTTTGTAATTTTGCGTTCTTTTGAGGCGACATGAAGTGTACCATGCTTTCTCGACGTGTGCTTTGATCGATATACATTCATTGACTCGATGAATTCTGAAATCGAGTTCATTGCTTATTTTGATTTATAGATTATATTTTATGTCATCTTTCCAATGGAGAGCATAATGTGCTATATCAACCGCTCCACCCTGAGGGAAAAGTTGTGTTCCTTACTTCAAATCTGACCTTTGTATTCTAAGAACCTTTTGGTCCTTCAAAACGGCTAATTTCGTAACAAAACTTGATTTTTTGTGCTGGCATGTTTATTTGGAGAAATAATCAATATGTCCGTTTGTTAGAGATTCTCGTTCAATCGTAACTATATGATTAAAATGTGTTAAATGAAAATACAGTCATTCTTTCCATCAAACTTGAGCGATCAATGGAGGCAAGCACCTCTCAAAGGTGAAGTACTTCTGACCAAGCGAATGTCGTTTTACGATCGGAATGGTGAAAATTTGAACTTTTCAAAAACTTACACTCTTATTGCGGGATTGGCTTCCCACTAATATCTTATGTATTTTTAAAAACAGGGATTGATCGTGAATCTGTTCATTTTTAGTTTAAATAAAGAGTGATGTACACCAGATTTTATCTGTGTAATGTGCGTAGCATTTAATGTGCTCGCTAGTAACTAAACATACAAAATAATATGTAATGATAGTGAAACATGGCGGTAAACTAGTAGTGTGACAAATGTAAGTATTGTACCCGTTGCAAGCAGGGGTTTTGCTGAATGCAAAACCGTATTCGTTCTCATAATGTCCGACTTCGACACTTAAATCATCCTTTTTACCTTTTCTTTTCGTAAACATCCATCGAAAATTAGCAGTTTGCCAACGTTTCTTCTCCAAGTTCTGCTGCCTTGAGCTATCAGTGGAAGAAGCCGGTAACTGTGGGGAGGCAAGTGAGCTTGATGGCGAGATCGGGAGCTCTCTGCTTGCCATTGGTATTGGTATAGGAGCCAGTGGATGAGAAAACGGAATGAAGCTTTGAGGCGAAGTGTCAAAGGCACCTCTACCGTGTGCTGTTGCCGGCGGATGTCGAAGCGGCATCGTACGTCCAAAATCAAGCCCGTGGAAATGTGGCATGGTGGCCGTCAAGTGTGGAGAAGGCATCCTACGGCGCCAGTCGTCCATCATGTCGGCGATTTTCTAAGGTACGTTCCAACTGCTGCGGCAAGACTCGGCTGAAATTGATGAATTTGGAAATGGACCGTGATGAGTGTAACTTATAGGCTGGGGCGGGCTCTGCTCTTTGTGGTCAAATTATGGATTAATCGAATCAGCGATCGAGATTAGTACACCGGGACCAGCGCACTGTGAAAGAGCTGCGGCGGTCGACGTGCAGTACTGTAGTACAGTCGGAGCAACTAGGTGGAAATCTCCCAGGGCTTCAATTAGAAGCTAGGCTTTCTACTTATCTAGGAAGTGTCTGGTGAATTTTAAAATGTCCCACTGGGGTTTCTGGGCTTACAATACGACACACGCTTCATCAGTAATTAAAATTAAATCGTATTAAGTTAATCATCGGACGACGAACAATGGATTGAAGTGAATCGTCTCTTTTTTTTCCAGATGGAAGAACAAAACGTTCCCACACGTTTGAAATTTTTTGCCCCGGGCCTGTTTCATAATTCAACACCGTTATCTTTATTTTCCCATAGCTAATTCTGCGGCTTTAAAATTAAGTTTTACTACTTCACATCAAAAATGTAATTCACTGGTTTGATAGTTTGTAACCTTTTTTTCTGTAGTGAATAATTTGAGCAGTTCTGATTATGTTCCCGTTATCTAAACTGTAAGAGGACACGGAAGACCTCCTGTGTTTTGCGAGCCATTTTTCCAATACAATTTTGTGAGTACAGCAGAAAACAAACTTAGTTGTTTCATATTGCCGCATCGATATCCAGCGGGATTTCCTTCATATTCATCAGTCTTCAGCTCAAAATATTTAAAGAAGTTATAAATTTCATTCATCGTCGTAATTTTTCATCATTATAACCTTTTCATCTTCTGGCTTTCTGTCAGCAACCAGAAAACTCCAACCCTGAATAGTTTATAAATCATCTCAATCGATTTTCTTTGTCTCTGGACTTATTTTGCATTTGTCCTCACGAAGGCTTTGCCGTTTTCTAGCGTGGGAAGTTTGTGTATCAACTGAGCTACTCAACCAGAAAGTGTTTTCATACGATTGAGATGTCACTGTCTTTGCCGCAGTTTACTCACTGTTGTTAAGCGCATCAACTGGTGACTGCGAACAGAGCGTAACTTCAATGAACCGTAAATATAGGATTTGAATAGATTTCACATTTTAATAAGAGTTAGCTTCCTGCTGCGAGAAACAAAGAAGGTTTCTAGTCAACACAACACCCATAAAGCTCCAAACAGTTTTCGACGCTACGCTCCAAGCGTAAGAGCGCCCTCCATGCCTGTCAACCTGACCAAGTTCCTAACTTTTACATCGTAGGTTCACTGCGGAGATTCCTTGTAAGATCTCTTTGATCACCACGGTGATGTCCCTGTAAAAGTAGAATCTCGCATTATGATATTTTTAGCGCGCGGAAGAGTCTGCCATCTATAAGATCACGCTAACTATCTGAAAAACGACCACTAACGTCCCACGTTATTATTTTTTGAGTGCGAGCCCAAGATTTTTTTTTACCAATTGTGATTCTATGAAACCCTGGCGTGGCATAAATTTTTTAGGGATTACCACTACCTTGGCCGCTCGGCTTTGAATCGTAACTATTCAGCTACCATCGCACATGCTCGTTTCAAAATTCAAAGCTTTGGTTCGCATGTCTCAGGTATTTTTTCTTTGAATTATATAAGAGGGCTGAAAAGTTGAGTTATACGCCTGCCAAATGCGGTTTTGAGATTCCTTTTAAAAGCATAGGTTTGTGCATAAATGGATTTTTATGTGAAATGCGGTTCAGCTTCTATTGTGAAGTTTCATAAGGCGCTATTGTGAGAAGGTTGAGTGCCAGGTGCAAAGTGTTCTGCGGAACTAACACTCCAAAGCACAATCGATCTTTCAAAATTCAATATTTTGATTTTGGTCATTTCAATTTACCTTTTTCCTCAACGTCGGCGTTCTCGAATCAAATCAGCGTTGATCAATCACTTGAAAGCGGACTTCAGAGTTTTAAAAGATCTTGAACAGCCAGTCATTAGCAAGAAAATCTAACACTTATGTTGTTTTATTGGCGACTCTGTTGTATTTGGCTGGCTAATGCGGAGTAACTTTAACAATTTAGACATTTTTTGTACAAGAATTTTCACAATTTATGACGCTTAAAGAAAATATCCAACCTGTGGGACGTATGGCAGCTTAAGATGACAGAAAATAATTGCCTACCATGGAATATTTACCACCCCACAACGCCTAATTTCTTTATTTTTTCCGTTCGCAGGTAAAGCGGTCTCGATTTGCCTCTGTCAGGTTATAAAATATTTGGCTTTAAGGGAAAAAACTGTGATTACCACATACTAAATTGCACGCTGGGATTCTGATGGTAGTGTCTTCATAGCCTGTATTTAAAAACGTCATATAGCGCGCCAAACAAAGCCGTGCCGATTGTATCCTTTCAAATGTGTCCGGACTCCAAGTTTCCCGCTAAGACTGTCTAAGGGGTCTAAAATCTTGATCCTTATAGATTACAAGAAATTTATTGCAGAATACAACATGAACATGGCATTAAAATTGGCGATTTTTTACACACGTTCCCAACGCGGCATCGTCAACTGCTTGTATGAGGTGTATTCTAAAATTGACTTCACAGGATTTTTTTCCCATACCATCACTTGCTTTTTGCCCAAAAGAAAGTCCTTTGTTCCATATCTCGTACAAAACAAAGGCGTGTTGAACAGTAAGCAGTTTGAAAGAGAATTTTAAAAGATAACTCAGCTGAAATAAAATTAAATGAGCTTTATACTCTACACGAACTCGATGAAGAAAACTTTAAAATGGAGAAAACGTTAGAACTGATGATGAATTTTCTTGTATTTTATTACCATCTTAATCAACTTAGTGTATTTTTTTAACACAAACAAGCGTAACCATATTGGAGGGAACGATCGGGAATTTTCTGAAGACGTGTGCCATTCCATGTTTAAAATATGCTCATCGCCACCGACTCACAATCATGCGGCGCCTATACTTCGCTACCCGATTGAAATTCTTCCTTTTACGAAAAGAACTACTCCTTCAGTTAGCTTACATCTTTCTTATCTTTGTCGAAAGCGTTTGAGCTGTTTCCTTTTTGAAGGGTTTGAGACAGACTTGAGTAACTTTGTACAATATTGATTCCAAGCGGCTGCTATATTTGCAACTTCAACCTCGACAAGGTTCCATGTGAGAGACTGGGGAAGCGTCTACATCGCAAATGTACCGCAACATTATTTCTACTGAAGACAGATTAATCAGGTCTCGACAAGCCCCAGTGAAACCAGTAAAACCAGTTTTCTCACATCATCTATGAACTTGGAATTTTCAATGCTCCTTCAATAACCGCCTTGCTGTTTCTGAAGTGACCAACCATTTCTCCTCACCCACGGCAATAAAATTGACAGATGTGTTCGTTGCAGTAAAACTACTGATTTCACGCATGCCCATAAAGTGCCTTGCCAGCGATAAAAAGAAAGGATTTTGGTTTCGTTTACATTTCACACAACAAAAGTTGTTTCCTTTCTGATCACACTGATTATATAAAGATGAGTATACAGATACACCAAAGTTAATTGATTAAATCCACTAAATAGTTGTTATTATTTCCTTTGTCACTGATTATGGGTGAATCTGTAGAAATTCAGGGGACAGTTTAAAAAAAAAAAAAAAACTCTGTTGAACTTCGGATGGTTTGGTAGCAATTGTCTACTACCCGTGAAAGCAGACATTGTCTTGTTTATAAAAACTTTCGGTCACATCCTACCCAGATACATTAAAACTCTAATGAGTGTTGTGCCATGCAATGTGATGTCAAAAGAAAGCCTCAGATACCACTCACTTTTTCATGACTGTTGTTCGTTGAAATCTTGTCAGATATCGGTTCAAGTTTTTTAGATATAGGAGTCCTAATCACGTTTCAAGCTCTATTCACGCTATCACCGTGATAACTTGAATTCGCTTCTGTCAAAGACAGATTTATCATATATGAGCCGCAAAGTACATTTTCACTTGAGAAATAAAAATTCCTTATTTTTCACTGTCTCTTTCCGAGCTTGAAAAGAGGAAGGGTTCCTGAAACTGAATTATCCCTGCTAGTGGAATATGCAACAACAGGTTCCAAACCGAAACGCGTGGGTTTAACATGTAAGGT